GGGAGGGAGAGAGAAGTAGCGGAAGAGAAGAAGGGGGAGATGAAGAAGAAGAAGAAGAAAATAAGAGGACAACTTGAAAATAACACCTTTTGCATTTATGTCAAAATCCAACAGTCACTAACAATGCTACTTTAAGTGTGAGAATATAGAGTTTATGAAACCAGGGGGAACTTGCCATTTCGCTAAACCATGGAGTATATATATGCGGTAGAAGAGAAGAAGGGGGAGATGAAAGAAGAAGATAAGAGGACAGTTTGATAATAGCACCCTTTGCTCTGTATCAGAATCCACCTGTGACTAACAGTGTTACTTTAAGTGTGAGAATATAGAATTTATGAAACCAAGGGAAGCTTGACATTTCGCTAAACCATTGGTATATATACAAATACGCGTGAGGGACTCCATGTGAAATCTGTGTTGGCTAAGTGGTTACCTTTGCCAAAAATATGGAGAAAACTTGCGTATATACTTGAAGGCATCAAAATTAATTAAAAATAACAAAAAATATTTTAATTCAAGACAGCTTTGAGTTAGGCAGCTTTATCATATAGTCTGACTTGATTATTAGATTCAGAATAGCAAAAATGTAAAAAAACAACTCTACATTAATTAGAATTTTTTATTTATTTAATTAATCTTTGTTTAAGTTTATTTGCTGCTGTTATTCTTGTTTTGAATTTTTTTTTTCAGTATTTTTGTTCTAAATCAATTCTCTTTTTGTTAAGTTTTAATTTACTTGAGTTTTCCCATTTTTCAGAAGTCTTTGTTGTCTATGAGACGTTGAAAAAGCGTAGAATTATTATCATTTGACCCAGAGATTGAATAGACTTGTCGGCTGTCGAGAAAAGCAAAAGAAGGCTCTACAAGCACACAACAAACCATTGACAATCAAGTTAAGAAGGCAAATGATCAAAGAGCTTTGAGAGACTGTGCTTTGCCTTTGGTGACCAGTACAACTCCAAGCGTAAGGCGACCAAATTTTCAGGCAAACAACTTTGAAATAAAACCAGTCATCATACAAATGATTTAGACATCGGTGATAGTTTGTTGGAATGCTCAACGATGATTCAAACAGTCAAATAGCAAATTTTCTTGAGATTTGTGATACTTTCAAGCACAATAGAGTGTCAGTTGATGCCATAAGACTACAATTGTTCCATTCTCATTAAGGGACAAGGCAAAAGGGTGGTTGAATTCGCTTGCAGTAGGGTCAATCAAAACATGGGAGAATCTAGCCCAAAATTTCTTTGGCCAAGTACTTTCCTTTAGCAAAAACAACGAAACGAAGATGCAAAATGACATCGCAACTTTTATTCAAATGGAGCTAGAATCATTGTACGAAGCTTGGGAGAGGTACAAGGATTTATTACGAAAGTGTCCTCATCATGGCCTACCCCTGGGCTTGTGGTGCAAACTTTTCATAACGGTTTGGTACCAACGATTTGATCAATGATAGACGTTGCAAAAGGAGGAACTTTAATGGGAAAAAGTCTTTAAGATGCCTACAGATTACTTGAAGAGATGGCTACGAATAATTACCAATAGTCATTAGAAAGGATATGACATCAGTTGTTGTAACCAAATATAGTAAATATTCTTTTCTTAATTAGTTAACATATAGTACGTGCCAAATAGTAATGTTCTTTGTTTAATTAGTTAACATATAGTACTTTGAGATAGTATTTAGAATCATATAAATGTTCTCATATTTAAGTGAAAATTGCATATAGGTAAAGTTATTTGTACAAACTCTTACATAAAGAGAGTTTATACAAATTGACGTAACATATTATGTAGTGCCACGTGACATGATGAGTCAAATGATATTGATGTGACATTAAATTATGCAGTTTTTAATGTCACGTGACATACTATGTAACGTCCCACATAAGTTTGTACAAACTCTCTTTGTATGGGAGTCTCTACAAATAGCTTTATTCATTGCATATATATATTGCAAAGAAAAGCCAAATAGTACATAAATGTCCTTTATAGTACATAAATGTTCTTTGCTTAATTAGTTAGCATATAGTATGTTGAGATAGTATTTAGAATAACATAAAAGTTCTCACTCATAAGTGAAAATTGCATATATATATTTCAAAGAAAAGCCAAATAGTAAATGTTGGTTACTTAATTAGTTAATATATAGTATGTTTAAATAGTATATTTGGAATCACATAAAGGTTTTCCTAGTTAAGTGTAAATTACATATCATGATAATTCACATGAATTTATTTATTATTTATCATACAATTTATACAATACAACTAATCAAGGATTGGAGATTTAAATTGTGGATTATTGGTTAATTTGATTATAAATTTCATGAGTGAGTAATATAAATAATTGTGGAACAAGCTGTCAGGATTGGTTTCGTAGAATTCCTTGAAGCCTTCCCAGTCCTTCAGTGAGGCTCTTTGAGGCTGTTTCATTCTTGCAATGGATTCCCGAGCTGGAACTAGTTCATCGCCCTTGATCTCTAAATCTTTTCCCATATCTCTCTATGTCGCTTGTTTAAATTCCACGGATTTAGGAAGATAACAATTGTTGTGTTATCTGATATTTCATAAGCTTTTAGAAGGGCTAGTTTTATCCTTGTAAATGAAGAAGTATCGCTACTTTACTTGAATAAATGATAAAGCTCATTGCTACTGAGAATATAATAAAAGATAAAGCTCACTATGATAAAAAGTATAATAAAGATAAAGATCATTAGTAATTAATTTACATTGACAAGAATATATTAAAGATGAGCTAAACTGTCACATTTTATGTGGAAATTAAAGGCATTATAATTTGTTCTCCATGTCTGTGGGACAGTGAACACAAACCCATGAGTAAAGCAAAGGTGTTGATCAAGCTTCTCTTTTGGACTCTTAAGATCTATTTAGAAGAACTAGAATTGTGTATATCTTGCTTAATTAATTCTTTGCAGGCCTTCCCAGCTGTTTTCTAGGGTGAATAAAAGAGGCAGCTTTATTTTTTTATTTACTATGTCAAGCCAATTCGCTCTTGAATTCATCTTAAAAAACATAGGAAAAAAATGAATAAAGAAAACCAACAAACAAAAATGAATTGGTCATAGCCAATGTTTTTAAATCCGACCCTGGCCTTGACCTAGTCAAGGGGCCAATTCTCGGGGTGGGTGGTCCAAAAAGCCAAAGAGTAGATGTTCTTTGCTTAATTAATATACAGTACGTTGAAATAGTATTTGGAATTACGTAAAGATTAAGTTATATATATGTATATATATAAGGCCAAATAATAAATGTTCTTCACTTAATTAGTTAACATATAGCACGTTGATATAGTACTTAGAATCACATAAAAATTTTCCTAGTTAAGTTAAAATTGCATACCATTTCAATTCACATGAATTTATTTATTATTTAATTATCATACAATCTATACAATATAACTATTCAAGGATTGGAGATTTAGATTGAGTGGATTATTGGTTACCTTGATTATAAATTTTATACATGGGTAATATAAATTATTTCTGCCTAGTTACGCAGAGTGCTCTAAAATTTATTAGAAATAAAAAAAGCTAAACATAAAGTGGTTTATGTTCTTTGCTTGATTCATTGATAAAGAAATAGTAGAGTGAATGACAATTTCCCAACTAAGTTTGATTATAAATATTTTCAAACTGCCAAAGATATCTCCAAAATCAATCCATTAAGATAATTTCCTTTGTGTAGTTGAGGTTTTTCTCCTCAAACAACTATCTTTCAATAGGCTATAGCCATTTGCTTAACTAGTTGACATATAGTACGTTGAGATAGTATTTAGAATCACATAAAGGTTCTCCTAGTTAAGTGAAAATTGCATATCATTTCAATTCACATGAATTAATTTATTATTTATCATACAATTTATACAATATAACTATTCAAGGATTGAAGATTTAAATTGAGTGGATTATTGGTTAATTTGATTATAAGTTTCATGCATGGGTAATATAAGTTATTTCTGCCTGGTTATGTAGAGTGCTCTAAAATTTATTAGAAATAAAGAAGTTAAACATAAAGTTAAAGTGGTTTATGTTCTTTGCTTGATTCATTGATAAAGAAATAGTAGAGTGAATGACAATTTCCCACCCAAGGTTTGATTATAAATAGTTTCAAACTGCCAAAAATATCTCCAAAATCAATGCATTAAGATAATTTCCCTTGTGTGGTTGAAGTTTTTCTCCTCAAACATCTATCTCCCAACAGGCTATAGCTATTTGTGGTATGTCTCTTGATCTACTCTCTCCTCACTCTCTAAGGTGTGAAGAACTTCAGCCATAGCTGGAGTCAAGTGAGATCGGAAAACTCTCACACTTCCAGGTATATGTATTTAAAAATATTGTTAAAAGATTACTAATTCTTGATGATATATGTAATATTTTCTGTGTTTATATAAACTTTGAATTAAGAAGAGTTTCCCATTGCGTTACTTTTCAAGATTTTGTTTACAATGGTTGGATATTGACATGCTTGGTTTTTTTGAAACTAGAGATTTCAAGTCAAAATCGAATTAAAAATGTTTAAAATGCTTTTTTGAAATTTTAATTTATAAAAGTTGTTATGTAGTTTTTAGGGGGTTAAAGGCTTAAAACTAGTAAATTTCAAAACTTTATATAATAGATCTGAGCCTAGGCCAGGCTTATCAAAGCTAGGCCCGGTTCTGGCCCTTCCGGGTATAACATATGCCTGAGCTCAGCGTAGGTCGGGCTTATTTTACATCTCTAATGTTAATTTTTTATTTATATATATATAATCAAATATTTTTTGTTATATTGATCTTTCAGTAGGTGGACCCAATAAATAATAGCACCCTATATATGTGTAGCCAGCTGGATCACTCCCCACCTGAAACATTACGAGATACAATACAATCGATACAATGATTATGTAAAATTACTAAGAGAAAAATTTTGCAAATTTTTTGTTGGATGATTTCCATTAATTCTTTTCTTGCCTCCATAGGGAAATTATTGAATTGGAGAAATGGCGACGGCTTATCAGTTAGCCTTGGACAAGAAGTGGGATGAACTGGAGAATATCTGCAAGCGACAATCGGGTTTTGATTTGATATTTCCTCAAACACCCGACGGGGACACTTTATTTCGCTTGGCAGCGTTCAGCAAAAGTAAAAAACCGCTTGAAAGTCTCCTTAAAATTGCTGAAGTGGATTCTATCACAAAGTCTGCATATTCGGCAACGAATATCCACGGAAACACAGCTCTTCATGAGGCTGCCGCCGATGGTAACATTGAGGCGATAAATCTCTTGGTGGCACACGATAAGAAGATTCTTCAGGTTACAAATAGCGAAGGCGAAACCCCGCCGCTCCTTGAGGTTACAAATGTCGAAGGCGAAACCCCACTGTTCAAAGCTGCTGCATATGGGAAAGAAGAGGTGGTCAGACATTTAGCTCCAAAAAGTTGTACAAATGGAGAGCTGAAAAAGGTTCACCGCAATAAAAAAAGGCCTGAGACCTCCATTCTGCATGCTGCCATCCAAGGAGAGAACTTTGGTCTCTCTCTGATCTCTCCCAATGCCATTTAGCTAGTTTATTTTTGCTTTAAATTGAAGTATTCAACTGGTGTCTGATGTGCTATTTTCTATTCTAATTTCGCTGCAGAAACGGCTTTAATGTTACTGAAACTGGATAAGTCGTTAGGAACATTAGAGGACGGAGATGGCATAACCAGTCTTGAACTGCTCGCTACTATGCCCTCTGCTTTCAGAAGTGGCTACCGAATGAGCATGTGGAAAAGACTCCTCTACTTTTGTACGTACTGTACGATTTCCACTTCTACACTAAAATATATAATAACTGTTTGCATTTAATATATCCTCTTTATAGTTTTCATCTTAATTTGTTAATAAAGAAATATGCGAATAAAATGATACCTTTCTATCCAGAGCTTTATAAGAGTGATTAATAGAGCAATAGTTCTAACTTTAGGGTATCTCGTTGACTAATGATCTGTATACTTTATTTTCTAAAATTCACAGGTCCTCTGATTGATGCAAAACGAAGAATAGGGTTGCCAATACTGAGAAGAATCTTGAAAGATAAGAGAAAGCATAATCTTGCTTTTAAACTCACCCTGAAGCTGATAAAAAAAGATACTACGTGGGTGCAGATTGCTCAAAAAATACTCTTTGGTTTGTTGCCAACACCAGGAAATAGTGAAGTTTCAAAACTGGCTACTGAAAGAGGAATACTAGAGATTGTCAAGGAGATACTTAAACAAACGCCCCAGTTGGCTGAGTATATCGATGATAGGAAGCGGAATATGTTACATATCGCTATCATGCACCGTCAAAAGGAAATCTTCGATCTTGTGAAAGAGAAGAATATACCAATGAAAAAGTTAGTCCGAGGGATCGACATATGTGGCTGTACCATTTTACACTATGCTGGAGACATGACCAATGATAATGCAGATATTGACCGTGGTCCTGCATACCATCTACAAGAAGAGTTAAAGTGGTACAAAGTAAGCGTTCTACAAATCTTTACTACTACTACTTATTTTTTATTTTTTTATTGAATAATGTGATTGTTTATAGGCTTATAACAAAAATCCCCCTAGGTATGATCAAATAACTAAAATTCTTCTGTGGTTATAATAATACCAAAAATCATTCTGCCGTTAAGTTATTGGTATAAAAATAAACAATAGAAAAGTAATTTGTAAATATTTATTAACTCATGTTAAAAATTCTAACAATACTCTTACAGTTTACTAACGGTATGAGAACTTCTGGTTTTTCTGAAATCTCAGGGGAATATTATTTGATTAAACCCCAAAGATTGAGAAAAACCCGTTGTTCATATTCAAAATTCTTATTCTAATAAATCTATTAAATGATCTTTATAGTTTTTTATCATAGGAAATGTTCATGTGTTTTGTAAGAGCGTATGATAAACTAGACGAAGGTAAAAATTTGATTATTTAACGCATGAAAAGACTTATTTATTTATTTCATTTTTAATACTAAACTGCATTGATATAAAAAAGTATTTGCCCCTTCAAGTATCCCTTTGTTTAGCAATTTTTTTTTGGGTTTATATCTAGAAAAATATAGAGGATGATGCCTTCTTTTTATTGAATCTTATTTTCCGGTCTCTTTTATAAGTATCTTAAGGACAAAAATAACTATTTAAACATAAATTAAATAAAGTAAAACTTAGAGATAAAGTGCATGTGTTGCAAAAATCAGAGACAATGAAGATGAAAAATCTATTGGATGTTTAGGAGACCAACACAAGGATTGGTAGTCTTCTATACATAAAAATTNTAGAAAAATATAGAACATGATACCTTCTTTTTATTGAATCGTATTTTCCGGTCTCTTTTAGAAGTATCTTAAGGACAAAAATAACTATTTAAACATAAATTAAATAAAGTAAAACTTAGAGATAAAGTGCATGTGTTGCAAAAATCAGAGACAATGAAGATGAAAAATCTATTGGATGTTTAGGAGACCAACACAAGGATTGGTAGTCTTCTATACATAAAAATTTAATGATGAGTTAATTAATTAAGTCTTCCATGGAATGTACTCTATCTTATCTTATATTTGTGCATCTATGCAGCAGGTGGAGAAGTTAGTGCCCACCCATTTTGCCATGCTCCGTGTGACTCTAAAAGATGACAATAAGGAAGAGAAGAAAGATGATAATAAAGACAGTAAGGAAGAGAAGAAAGATGATAATAAAGACAGTAAGGAAGAGAAGAAAAAAGATAATAAAGAAAAGAAGAATAATTACAATTGCAAAGAACTGTTCAAGCTGAAGCACGATGAACTACTCAAAGAAGCACAGGAATGGGTAAAAGGAACTTCTCAGTCTTGCTCTGCAGTGGCTGTTCTCGTCGCCACCGTGGTGTTTGCAGCTGCCTACACCGTACCTGGAGGTTCCAATGAGAAGGGTTATCCAATTTTCCTTAACAACAATTTCTTCTTGGTTTTCACAGTCATGGATGTTGTTGCTTTAGCCTGCTCCTTGACCTCGGTGGTAATGTTCTTATCCGTCCTCACTTCACCTTTTAGTTATGAAGAATTCCATCACAGACTCCCTCGAAAACTGACAATAGGCTTCTCCTTACTCTTCGTTGCGTTGACTACAACAATGCTTGCATTCGCGGCAACATTATTGCTCATTGTTCGTTATCAAAAACCACATTGGACCACCACTCTCATTTATACTGCTGCATTTTTTCCGGTGAGCATATTTGCACTCACGCAGTTCCCTATGTACGTTGCATTTAAGGATACTTTCCTCAAGCTTTTCAAGTGGATTAAGAAGGTTCAGAATAAGAAGGTTCCGAAGTGGAATAAGAAGGTTAAAAAGTGGATTTCTATGGCTGATTTTCGTAAACGGTTTAAGAAGCTTCCAAAGAATGATGAGTTGTCCAAGAAGATTGATGAGTTGTCCAAAAAGATTGATGATCATGGGGCTTGATCCCCAGTATGAGGGATTTATATAAGTTGCTCGAAATGGTAAAGGAGGCTGATATGTCATCAGTGCAAGAGAGTTGTATTAGAATATAATAAAAGGGTTGTATATTTATTAATTTCTGACTAAATATTTATTAAGGGTGTGTCTTGTTGATTGTAGAGCGTGGTAGCATGCTCGACGTTGCTGAGTAACTTGGGAGAATAAGTTGTGTGTTTCCAGTTTTCAAGGTAGTTTGCCAATTCAACTTACTTTTTAGTCTACTCTTAATTAAGTTAGCATTTGACAGGTCAGCGAGCTGATTGTTGAATCTTCAGATTCAACTGAAGCTTCTAAGCCGCCAAGGCTAGTCTAATTGGGATTGTCAGTGATTTACTTTTAAGTGAGGATATATAACACATGTCAAAAGACTAAAATAATTATTAAATTTTATTATTAAAATTAGTTTTTGTAAACTTTTATTTTTGTTGATCAAATTCAAAGCGTTGATTGACAACTTCCTACCATTTTAATATTTTTAAATTGGCCTTTGAAGAAGTTTGTTCCACTCGTCCAATCCTGAAATTAAAAAAAAGGATTAGAAGGGAATAGAGATGAGTCAGCAGAAACACTTGTAGCACAAAGGGTGGAGTCAGAGTCGTAAGAATGAGAAGAGGAAGATCTCGTCGAAGGGAAAACTCAATAGGGATCAATGTGCCTTTTGTCGTGAGAATGGGCATCGGAAGAAATATTGTCCGAAGTTGAAAAAGAAAGAGGGCAAAGCTGCTTCCGATGCATGCGTGTGTTGAGCGTGAAGAGGATGAGTCAAATTTATGTTAGTTAGCCTACCATCCACCTCTGGATCAAATGAGTGGATTATGGTTCAAATAGTACCTATCATATGTGTCCTCACCAGGATGGTTCTTTAATTTTGAAGAACGTGATGAAGTTGTTTATATGGGCAATGAGATGCTTGTAAAACAATTGGGATAGGTTCAATTCGGTTGAAGAACCACGATGGCTCAACTAGAACGTTGACAGATATTCGGTATGTACCAAAGTTGAAAAAGCATTATCTCTTTGGGAGCCTTGGAATCTAAAAGCTTCATGGTGAATATGCGAGAGGAATTCTAAAAGTTTTTTCAGACGCTCTTGTGGTAATGAAAGGCACAAGGAGAAAACAACTTGTATTACTATAATGGTAGTACAATTATTGGAACGGGGCTGCAGTCGACAAGAGATGCAGATTGAAATGCTCAGTTGTGGCATATGTGTGTGGAGCATACTCGACAATAGGGGAGTTTGAAACAATAGTTGAACCAGATAGTGTGTCCACGAGACAGAAGTGATTCAAGGTGACTAATATTGATACTCTTGATGAAAAGGAGATTTTACCCCAAGAATCTCCTCAGTAACAGGAATCGATTGCATACAATAGGTTAAGACGAAAATCGCAAGCCTGCTCATTTCGCTAATATGGTGGTTATGCACTTGCAATCGTAAGTGTGATATTCCTATTACTTATAAAGAAGTAGTTAGGAGTTTAAATTGTGAATCATGGAACCGGCCATGAATGATGAAATGCGATCCTTACATAAGAAGGCGATTGGGTACAAATGGGTGTATGCAAAGAAGAAGGGATTTCCTAAAGAGAAGATGTTCGGCACAAGGTTAGGTTGGTAGTCAAGGGATATGCTCAAATGGAAGGATTTGATTACAGTGAAGTGTTTTCTCCTGTGGTAAAGACATTCTAATTTGCTAACCTTAGTGTCATGTTTGATTTTGAACTAGTTCACTTGGATGTGAAAATCGCATTTTCAATGGTAGTTTGGAAGAGGAAATCTACAAGACCAGCCAGATGATTATAGGGTTGTTGGAAAGAAAAATTTGGTTTGCAGTTGAAGAAATCGTATATAATTTGAAGTGTCACCAAGCAATAGTACAAGTGATTTGATCAATGTATGATGGGCCATGGGTACACAAGGCTGTATTTCACAAGCGATAGTATGGTGAGCAGGCATATGCATGATCCTGGCAAAGGACATTTGCAAGTTGTGAAATGATTTCTACAGTATATTATGTACTATAGTATTGGTTTAGTTTTTGTGTGGGATTATATTGAAAATGGGAAAATGATTCTCTAGAACATTGGCACAGAAGATAATCTCCAGACATGTTGACTTCAATAGTGGACAAGGGTCAAGTTCATTTATTGTTTGAACTTGATCAACATCCTGCAAGCTTGACTATGCCATTTGGCGCATTTGAAGGTGTTGAAAATTTGACAGAAGAAAATAAAACTTTGAAGGTTTGCTAATTCACCAAAGTGGAGATTTGTTGGAAAAATGGCTTATTTAGCAAATCACATAGGGTGGAAGTGAAATGGAGAAAGTTTAGAGACTTATATGAATAGGCCAAAAAGTTAGTTTGTCCACTGAAAAGGAATGAAAAGTGGAAAATTTTGGGGCCTATATAGAAGGACTAAATAATTTGTATGTATCCCAAGTTGTAATTCCATTATACTTCTTTTATTTAGGGTTCTTTCTTTAAGGACCCTTTAGTTTGCAAGTTTATTGATCTTCTCATTTGTTGTGGTATTTGTTGTATTGTCCAAAAGTTTGTAATATTGTTTGGAGATAGTGGAGTTTTCTTTTGCAGCGCCCAAAGACGTATGTTTCAATACCAAATCTCGTTAATTCCTGGTTCTTTATTTTTCATTTAATTTAGCTATTTATTTATATTTATTACTTATTATTATTATATTCAATAGCTAGCGTGGAGTGTATGTTTCCGTTGCATAACAGATGACGTAGGGTTGCTTACGGGTGATGGTAAATAAATTGTCGACTACAACGAGCAACGAAAACCGAAGGTTAACAGAGTAGGTAATTCATCTCATTGACTTTGATTCAATTAATCCTCTGTTGCCTCTGTTCAACCTAGAACGACTGGCTGTTTGTTCTCTCTCTCTTGTGGGGGTGGGAGGTTGGAGGTGGTTTCAATTTTTCTTGTTCTGGAACCACTGGTCTGTTCGCTTCCTCTGTGGGTTGGGGGTTGGCGATGGTTCCTTTTTGGCTTGTGGGAAGAGGAGGTATGGTTTGGGGGTAATGGTGCTGGATTCGTTGAAGTGGAGATGTGGGGTGCTTTGTTAGGTGGACTATTGTTTGCGTGGTGTTTGGGGGTGTTGTCCACGTTTTTGTTTCGTTTTTCCTTTGTTTATGGATGACTGATCTATGTTTTGCTTTCTGGTTGTTGAGATTGTGGGCTGGCTGGGGCAGTTTTTTTGTTCTCTGGACTGCCTAGTTTTGTTTTGCTATGTTTCTGTGTGGGGAGTGATGGTTGTTCATAGTTTGGCCGTGGTTGGGGCATATAGAGAATTTTGGTTTTTGGTTTTTTTCTTTGCAGGCCTTGAAGGAGGTAGTCATGTTGATTATTCTCCTTGGTTGGGCTGGTTTTCTACACGAGGATGTTGTGCTGGTTTTAGTGTGTGCGAAGTGTAATCTTTGTTTTTTTGGCTGGTTTGGGGGTGGTGGTGTAAGTCTGCATGTTTGGTGAAGTTGCTGCTCCAGTGTGGTTGTTCCCTTCTGCTGGCTTTTTGTGTGTGTTGTCCTTTTTGAGGCGGTCTGTTATGGTGGTGTGTTGATCCTGCTGGTGTGGCTTTGCTGCTGCTGTGAATCTCCAGGTGCAGGTTTTTGATGGAGCGTGATTGCTCTTTTTTTTTTGTTGGCGTTTTGTGCTTTAGTTTGTGGTCCTGCGCGAAGACTTTGTATTTTTTTCAGTTGTTTTTTTCTTCTTTGGTTTTGCTGCGTTGGAGCCTTGTGCCTTTGTAAAGGTTTTTCTCCTCCTTAGTGCTTTCATTTTTAAATTATTGATTTAGTTGTTGAAGTCTTTAGATTGATTGATCTTTAATTGGCTTAATCTGATATATTGTACTCATGATGCAGAGGGCGTGTAAGTTTATGGGCTGCCCCCACCCCCCACCCCCGCTAACAACGCCATGTACCGATCTCATTATATATTGTTTGCTGTAGTATTAAAAGAATACAAGGTCTGGTGCTAAATTTTGATGTTAAAATTATACTATATATGTAGAGAATAGGTGTATAGTGTAAAAAGTTTCACCACACGATGCTTACTATCTCAAAACATTCTTCTGAAAGCCCCAAAAATGTAAAGAAAAAATTCTTACATTAAATGAGATAAACAAAATACATCAGAGATGAAGAACACAATGAGTTGTTATGTTTTCTTAGACGTATGAACTTCCGTCTTGAGGATGATTGATAGCACGCTTAAACTTGAGCACCAAGCCAAGAGCAGTGTGTGATAACGGCAGTGAATGTTGGACTGACAAATTGAATAGGACTGGAAACAGAATCCATGAAACGCGTTAGGTTTTGTATGAATGATAGCTAAAAGAGAGTCGTATAATCTTAATACTGCAGGTCCAGATTCTAACTGGCCAACAAAGCCATAAAATGAGGTAAAATTATTGAAAGAAATATTAAAGTCAGGACCAACCAGGACTAATGTATCGATTTTGGGGCCCATTCCTCCCGCAAGGATGCAAATTTTAAATGGAGCACCTGAAAAATCATTTACGAATAAACGTCACTTAGCTGTTCGAGATGAAGTAGTTCATGCAGAGTGCAAGAACTAATTTAGAGCTCATACGCTAAAAAAGATAAAGTGCGCATTAATGATTCTTACCATCAAGTTCCACCATGGCCTTCTTGATCACAGGGTGAATTACCTGCAAAAAACAGAAACACCCTTAATATCTCCTCGAAACAATTTTAATCAAGAAAATTTTTTTGATGACGAACAGTGCAGTAAATACCATTAACAGTAAGAAGTAATATTTCCAGAGAGTTTATAGGTACAGCGAATTCTTTACAGTATTGCTTCTTGATGATAGGTGACAAAGAGGTGTTGAGGGAAAGTTTCACATACCATGTCTCCTCCCACATCCATTAATGCGGTCAGAGCAGTTCCACCTACAGTCCATTGATACACTGGGCACTCAA